AAAAAAACGGTTCAACGAATTCGCCAAAAAGAATTAATGGCACCAGCAATTCCAGCTTCATTGAAGGAGTTGATCATTCCACCCGAGTTTACAACAACATTAGATGGTAAACCATTTTTAACCAAAAAATATTTGTGAACAATTTCATTCAAGATCAACAGAACTGTTTTTAAAAAGCATTGCTCAAAATATTTAATATTTTAACTTAACTCATAATGTATTTATTTGCAGTATTATTAAAATATGATGTATTATTAACTATGACTTATCATTTTTTTTTTTTTAATTATTCACTAACTTTTTTAGGTTTATATCGCGCTCAATTGTCTTAGAGCTTAATTTTTGCAGCGCTCAAGTTTCGTGCGCTTAATAGTCTTCGCCCAATTGTCGTGCGCTCAATTTTCTGCGCTCAATTGTCGTGAATCCGTTTAATAATAATAGGTATTTTAGCATCGAATACTGATATTCGAATAGTCAAATATTCGAATGATTTATGGTAAAGCTATCCGAATTCAAATATACATTACATCTCTATTACAGACATTATGTATACATATTAATTAATTAAAATAAAAGTTTTAGTTTGTACGTATTATATATAATATTTAATAATTATAATTAACACCCCCCTTCAGAAAATCCTAGCTACGCCACTATCTCACATGATTACATGGTATTAACTTCGTGATCGAACGAATATATTTTTATTGCTGCACATTATACCGTATGGAAATAATGAATAAGTTCTAACTATAGGGATTCGGTTGCAAAATTGTATCGTCAAACTTATAAGTATTGATTTTAAGGAAAATTTTAAAGTAAAGTTATTAACCTAATGAAACTATAATAAGTTTGTTTTTGTGAAAAGTTTAAAATCAATTTTGACTTATATTATCGCAATGCAAAAATATGATGAAAGTTTATTCATAAAAAAAAATATTATGTGACGTGATGTGATAGCTCTGTTGTAAAACATACAATGCAGCACTGAATGTATTTTAATGGTGAAAACAACGATGAAAGTATTTTACTGTGATGTACTAAAAAATTGCAAAAATTGATATTTGATGTTTATAGCTTTGTCATAAACGGAGCATATAAAACCGAATATATTTATCATAATGATTTATGATAGTATTAATAACTTTAATGGATAATTTTTTAAGTTTGCATAATTTTGTTTTGAAATAATTTACAATTTTAAATAGTCACTATCATTTTAATAAATATTTTATTACAAATAATAAACAAAACGTATTTGAATTATGGTTTTAGCCATAGTACATAGTGTTATTTAACAATTGTTTATGTTATGCCATGATTAAATTATTAAAAGTAGATGTCGATAGAAAGTGAGATATTCTACGAAGCGGGTTGATATACTGTGTTAAACGATATATTCAATTTGTATTGTTTCTGTACGGTTATGATGCTGACAGTCTAAATGTCATCGAGTCTTATTGTTGTACAGAGTGACCCAAACACATACAACCGATAAATATTTGAAATCCCGTTAATTCGCTTGTATCACACATATTACTTATTATAAAATCGTATGTATTAGTACGTGCAGATAAATTTAACATATAAGGTGTAAAAAAAAACTTTCAATTTTGGTTTTGGGCCGCTAAAAATACATCGTGGTAGATAATTAACGATAAGTTTTCTTTTACTTCATAATAGTTTATATAAACTTATTATAGACATCTTATGCTTTGGTCGTACATTTAATTTTCTAGAATTGATTTGAAGCGCATCAGACACTCATGAGCCGCATTTTCTTGACTTTCAAGTATCGTTTCACCAAAACCAACGACCGTTAGTCCACAATGATTTATCGTTAGTTGAATACCCGTAAAATTTTTTCCTGTTATTATATAGGAAATAATATGGTTTATTTTTACACTATGAATGTCAGTATGAAAATCGTACTAATCGTTAGTGGGCAGCATTCAAAAATGTCATAATCCAAAATTAGCTCTTCTTCATCTGCGATTCGTTGCAATAGATCGATATTTGAAGGGACCGTAAGCATGCTTATGACTTCCATTTCCTGTGGCAGAATAAAAATTGTGCACATAAATCACATGCTACAACGGTCCGTGTATACGGCGGGTTATGGTCGGATAAAACGAATGCGATTACCTTCAATTCGCGCACACTCGGATTGTTTGACCGTCGAAATCGTTTGGCGAAATCGACGTCTACAGAGGCAAATATTGACTGTTGGTTTTCGTTAATAATAACCGATCCGTTTACTGGTGGCACGTGGTTCTCATTGTGATTGGGGAATCCGGAATTCACGATCGGACGATCAGTATCTTGTTCTTCAAGAGACGCCGGGTGACGTACGACCTCATTGCACATTTCAAACATCGAGTCTTTGTTGACTTGTTTATACTTTTTCTTGTCGCCCAAAGTAAAGGTTGGTGCGTCAACGTCATTTGTGCGATTCGGTTTTGGGTGAAATCTCTTAGACATGAAATCACGTGCACCGCCAACTACGCCATTACCCTCAGATTTCATTTCAGGCACTTCTTTTGCCAAAGAAACATTACTACTGGTAATATTTTTTTCTTTGTGGTAGATTTCCGTAACTCCTTGCTGTTTGGTATCAATGCTATTAATGGCAGTGGCCATAAACAGCTTGTCATCGATACCAGCTGAAGTGACAACACATAAACTGTCAAATACCCCGTTATCTTTGCACTTGATTTTATTGGAATTGTCTTCTGACTTTTTAATTTTTTGATACATCAATATAGCCGCTTTTCGTTTACCCTCTTTCTTCAGTAGACCCTCGACTAATCGATCGGTACAAAGGAACATTATTATTTTT